TCACATCTACTCTTAGTGTAGAGTCGCGTGTTTGACGCCAGAAAATGTAAACGTCACACAGGAAGAAATATAAAATAATTTTGTCGTTCAAAGTATTTTCAAAATTATAATTTCACATGGGGAATGGTGGTATACAGGGTTGAAAAATCAAAAGTTTTTGTTAGAACTAATTTCACAAAAAGACCGAGATTTAAAATTATCCAGAAGTTCTTTGGAATTTTTAAGAATGCACATATGGTTAAAACCACTACGCGAGTAAAATAATTTTGTCGTTCAAAGTATTTTCAAAATTATAAATTAGACCGTTGGTTTTCCTGTTTGAATAGTTTTACACAAGTCAATTGTGGGGCCCTTTATAGCTTGATGTTCGGTGTGAGCCAAGGCTCCGTGTTGAAGGCCGTACTTTGACCTATAATTGTTTACTTTTACAAATTGTGACTTGGATAGAGAGTTGTCTCATTGGCACTAATACCACATCTTCTTATATCTATTTATCAATACTGAGCAATGTATGTAATTTCTTGTCTTTCAAACCGTCTCTAATATTTGAATGAGAATAACGAATCGGAACATAAGAAGAATTTTTTCCTAAACATTATGAACCTTTATCATGTTTATTACAAAAAGCGTAACAAGACTAAAGTCGTAGATAATACACTGTTATCACAGAGATATGTCTCGCTATTTTGTAATTTTGATAATGCAAATGTTGAAATTAAAATAACAACACTTTAACATGTAAGTTTTGCAAATATTCAAAGTCAACGAACCATGACTGAAGGTACATGGCTAAACAATCTCCATGGAAATGAGATGTGCCCATGCTAATACAACTGCATATCAAATACCATTGACTTATCATAAGTAGTTCCCTTTAAACAAACCTAAACTCAAACAAATACATGTGAACTAAGCACAATTTCAAAGTCAATAAACAATAACTGAGGGGGCGAGGTCAAATAATCTCCATGGTAATGAGACGTGCCAATGCTAATACAACTGCATACCAAATATCATTGACCTACCACAAGTGGTTCCCCATAAACCGACCTAATCACAAACTAAAACATGAAAACTAAGCAAAAGTTTCAAGGTCAATAGACCTTGAATGAGGGGGCGGGGCCAAATTATCTCCATGGCAATGAGATGTGCCAATACTAATAAAACTGCATACCCAATATCTTTGTCTTACCACTAGTGGTTCACCATTAACTAAACCTAATCACAAACTAATACATTGTTGACGCCGCCGCCGACGCCGGAAACAGCATACCTATGTCTCGTTTTTTGACTCCGTAAAGAGAGACAAAAACAAGTAACTTCGAAACACATTTTATCTTTGGTCATTTTATCAAATGACTAGTCTGTAAATACACAAATGATATTATAAATGCTTGTTTTCTAGTTTTGCCTCGAGCATTACTGAGGGGATATGAATTATCGAGATGTGAATCAGGTGCAATAAAGGTGTTACCGTTAATGTAGTTTCAGTCTAAGTAAATTTTACCTTGGATTTGATGTAGTAAAAACGGAAAATCCTATTTACATATTTAAAGTAATCAATTGAATCTAAAGAAGTATATTTTATGCAAAAAGGCAAATATAAATTATAAAATATGGACTAAACATGCAATATTTATGGAATTCAGTACAAGACAATTAAATTCCACAATATTATGGCGCTTTCTTTTAGGACAAAAAAACCTATTCCTAATTTTTCACGAAAACAAAGGAACTTCTCTATTCAAAGCATGTATGATATTCATGACTGCCATTCTCTCCGTGTCGACTTGTTCCTTTTTTCATATTAGGGATACGTTAAATTTCAGGAACATTGGTCATACACCAGTTGCAGTCGAGGTCATCATCAATGTTGAATTAGATTGTGCTGTTCATCAGCCAGACATATCATTTCAGTAATTCTCTGTCGGACAATTCTGAGACAAATGCTTTTGCCAAGAAAGGAAGTGATAGAACAGGAAAAAAATAGTTAACACCAAGACTTAAAGAAGATCGGTATACATGTATATTGGCTACTGGCACTGCACGTTCCTAATGAATATTTATTCTGAAATGGTACCACACACAGTTAATATGAAAGTTATGATAAGTGCTATTATTGCCAATAAGACAACAATCCAGCAGAGACAATTGTCATGGATGTAAGCAACTATAGGTCACCATACAGGCTGCAATAACGACCCATCCAAATACCATTTACACTTGATTCTATCATGACGGCCAATTGCCATGGGTGTAGTAAGCCAAAATACCCGGAGAGAATCAGCGAGCCTTAACGGATAATTATTCAAATACAGGACAACATTCTTAAATAAATTAGTTCATTGGAAATAGGCATGATTTATGGCATGTATTTTTTATTTATTATCTGTGAATGCATTCGTATGTTATGTAAATTCAAGAATGAGCAACAGAGGACTTTGTTTATTATTTCTAGACACTTTTAATATATGATGTTCGTTCAGTATAATTATTTTTTTACCGAAAGTGCTATAATACGATTCTGATTATGAAAATGTATTTCAGTCCTAATATTGAAAACCAATGCTGCGTACGTAAGGGACCACTTCAAAAAATCAATCGAGGATAAAAACCTTAATTGAAAAATATTTGTCCTGCCTCTTGAGCGTTGTATCCTCAACAATGATTGATTTATTGTTTGTTTCTTAACGTCCAGTGGCAAATATTTCATGCATGTTCCAGACGAGAACAAATTAACAATACATACAACAGATTGGTTTTTTTTTATGGGTCGACAAGGACGAAGGACTGAAAATTTGTACTTTCACTGGAAAAGGGTAAATGAGATAGACATAAATTTAGCATAGCAACAGGCTACCTACAGAACCCTCAAGTAGCTGTTGCAAGGATTCTTAACATGGTCATAGCAAAATCTATAATGACTGTAGTGTACATAAAACGATCTCTTTAATTTTAAATATATATCTTATATTACATATTTCATCCGTTCCCAGTAATTCTATATTACTTTCATTTTTTTTTTTATTTTACTTAGATTTTTTTTTCATTAAACGAGACAAATCTGTATTGATCTGTAATATATTTCACTGAGTTTTAAAATTGCTTTATAATTATGGTTCTAATGACAAATATACATGATATAGTTCACTTTTTGCATTTTTTTGTTTTTAATGCTCTTTAATTTCATATTTGAGTTGACCTTCAAACTGTTATAATTAAATTGCGACTGACGACACTTATTCAGATGAAATGCACATCTGGCACACCAAATTAAAAGCCTTGTACTTTTGTGTTTTGCTCCAAAAAAGACTACTCTGTATGATGTATTACCTTTTGTTTACATGATAGGCCTAAATACATTCATGATCGAACTTTCATATGTATTGCGTTAACCCAGAAAAATCATTATAGGATAACAAAACTTGCAGCCAGTTTGACAACACCATCCCTAACTATGTGCTGTTTTCCTACATCGATCGTTTGATGTTGTCCCTAGCAGTGGAACAAATAAAAATTAGTAACCATGAAATCTTTAAAACATCTAAATTTTCAAAAGGAAATAGATAAATGCGTGCATACTTAAACAATCATTGTGATCTAAACAATGTCAAATTAAATGCAGACAATAAACCAAAGATGCATAATATATATATCAAGATTGTACGACTTACAGTTGCTGGGATAAAACTTTACAAACATTTCATATACTAAGTACATGTATGTGCAGGTCATTTTGAGATGTGTTTTCGGCAAAGAATAAGTACATTATCGAAAAGGCAAATAATCTGTCACACAACTATATGAAAATTGATGTTATATATAAAGCAGCAATGACTTTGCTTTGCATGCAAATTTCATATATGTTTTCGTCAAATAGAATGTAAATGTCTAACACGGTTTAGTATAATAAACAAATCTTGTTGCAATTTATAAAGTAGCTATAATTTGTACCTGCTGTAAGATACGCCAGAAATGTATTACTGACGGATTGACGGACAATGGTAAACTGCAACATACTTCCTCATTTATACGGCGGTATAAATAACTGGCCATTCCTTGCTTTCACTATGACAAACGGTGAACACCAACTTTCAATTAAACTGTCTTTTCTTACTAGGATCTGATGATTCTACGAATTAGCTACCCTTTCATACATACTGCCGATTTCAATTCAAATTTTATGAGACTTCATGACATGTTAGAAGTGTTGTCTGTGACATTTGTTCGTGACTGGCAATATTCAATCTACACCTGCGTGAGTACCTTAGCTAACCTATTTTAGTAGTAAGCATATTTTGACAATTTTTCCGAGTAGCGTGTAGTTTTTTATTTTTTTTTGTTCAAACTAGTGATCATTATGCTGGTCTTGAACTGTGCAAGTGATTTTTAAATGTTTGTCATGTTCAATACAACTCTAGACAATTTTAAAAGAGAGTTGCCCAAGTAACACTTGATAAACCCAAAAATATTGAGCCTATAGCTGGATCTGTATCATGTGTTGTTTTATGTTACATGTACAACCACTCGTACACCTTTGTGTCTGAGGTTTGATAATAAAGTGTTGTCTATGTTATAATATAATTTTTGTACGTGTATTACTGAAAAATCGGATATTAGTGGTTGGTGTGGTCGTTTTAACTGTCTTGATTTTTTATTTACATTTGTATGTGCTAACTATTTGAATTTGTTTGTATCTTGATAAGGGATCACACTCTAGAACTTCGTTTACTTGAGACGAGGTTGCTATCACAACACAACAAAGAGTTGCTGTCCACAGCCAAAGTTGCGTAAGAAACACATATCTTATTGTTTATTTCAATACCTATTAAGAGTTTTAAAAAAGTATATTACACTTATGTATAGCAATTGATGAGCGTTTGGAAATTGGAAATGAAAAAAAAGATAGTGTGAGTAGTATAATGAGGAAACATATGTTGCGGACAGATATGGTCTCAAGATGCTCGGTCTATAGAACAAATAAAAAAAACGAATATAGATTAACTTCACTTTTGTCTTAATAACAGATTTTTTATATAAATATGTAAAATATGACATTTATGATATAATGAAAACAGAAATACACAAGTTACAGCACAATATACATAACTCAGTTGATACTAATATAAGCTTATTAGATCTGTTGTAGAATAGTACGACTCCCACATTTTCTTTAAAAAAACGGACTTATGTACTTTTTACTTTTTTAAATTTAATTTTAAACCACGATTGTTTTTATTAACCACACAAATAATGTTTCAAAATATAACAAATCATTACCAAAACCAAATGTCAATACTTATTAATTTTTTAATAAGCATTATTAGAGTCAATGTTAAAACAGACCAATTCTTTTGAATGTTGTAAAAGTAGCATAAGTATGTAAATTAATGCACTATTTAAAATTAATCCATAGCCAAAAAAAACATAAAGTTTGTGATTTTCTATTTCAAAAAGTCAAAAGCTATCACCAATCAAAAACGCTAAGTTAACGCATTACCGGTTTTTTCAAACTACTAGTATTAAATCAAAAGTCTGTAACATAAAAAGACGTAACAGAAATGATATAATATAATTACGTAAATATGTATAATGTAATTAGTAAGGAAATGTATAATGTATAATGTATTTTGGCTCTATAATATGAACTATATTTCAAACATGTTATCAATGTTTAACATAAGTGATAAGAATAATGAATTCAGATTAAAACTAAATTTGCAATAACAATTATATACAATGTGTTAATATTTTTACATACTTTAATTGCACGTTAAATATCGCGTCAATCCATTTAGCAAGTTGGTTTTTCATTTGACAAATAAGTTACAAAAATCCATTCATCTAACAATACATTGATGATTGATCCCACCTAATCTATAACAATACTCGAAAAAGTTACTGCCATATACCGTAGCTTACGTATTCATTTATATTTCTGCATGTATAAAAGTAATGATAGTGGAAAAAAACCACATGTATCAACAGTTCTTTGGTATGAGCAAAATTTCTAAATCTAAGAATCATTTGAAGATTCATCCATCAAATCTATGACTTCTTCGAGTTTATTTGCAAATTGTAGGTCTTTGCTTTCTTCCATATCCTCAAAATCATCAATAATCTGAATAAAAAGGAGAATACGCATACATAAGTTTACGAAAATATGAACTATTATTACATACAAAATAGCAAAATAATGGGTACTTTATTAGTTGTTTAATAAGGTATTATATAGTTGTTAACAGCCACTTTATACTGAAATGCATTTTCAGGAATATCTAGCAGCATCAAAAGATATTTCTGTTTTGACAATCTTACACACATTCCATTTATTAACTTGGAATAATGAACTGTAACGAGAGACATGCAACTTAACACCTAAGAAAATATTTTAAATGAAATGACAGTAAATTGAAACTTTCAACATGCGTATTCAGCAATAGTTAGATTAAAATATAAAATTTTGGCTGAACATTTCCATAATATGATTCGACATGAACTATTCTTAAAATAAATTCGTAACAACTTTGAACTATACCACTGTCCGTTGGAAACATTCACTCCCAAAATTATAACAACTAAATCTATATGTCAATAGACCAGTATCTGAACGAAGTATAATATTTTTTTCATACGCTTTAAATTTGAAACCTTTTCACATATTAGTCAATATTTAAAATTTTTTGAAACCTACAAACTAGCTTGTTGCGCTAAGTATGTAAAGGGTTCCTTTTAAGAATCATACCCTATTCATATTTACTTACTTCAGATTTGTACTTCCCAATGAACAAATTATACAGTTGATGAATGGTAGATTGTCGACTGAACTTCAGTTCTGCTTTCTGTGTCTGAAATGGATATATCACACTGTTATATTTGTCTAACCAATATTGATGATAATGTCATATTTGAAAAAAAGAATAATGATTTTGTAGTGACGCCCTCTTCTGACAAAGTACATGTAGTAAAAAATTAAATGTGATTGGAATATCTTAATATAAAAGAGATGTGAGGGTATACGTCATCAATAAAGCAACCTGGTAGAAACAGAATTTTATGATCAATGGTAACATATCCCTTTTTACATGTTAAACTTTTAGTGAAATTAATATATCATGTTTGTTATTATTCAATCGTTTAAATTATCATAATTCTTTCAAACAACTATTAATTATATTACCATAAAAGAACAGAATTGGTATTTGTAAAAGTGTGGATTCGAAACATCATTTATGTTTAATTTATTTTATAATACTGCTGCATCTCGGGATATTTGCGATTTATCTTGTCTATGAGTACATCCATTATCAAATGAAAAAAAAATCAAAATTACTGAACTCCTAGGACAATTCAAAAAGGGGAGTCCATAAAAACTGACAAAATTAAACGTTATCCACCAACAGAACGAGTGGAAAACAATTGCAATATTCTTGACTTCGTACAGGCATTTTTCTGGTTTACTGTGACAATGAGAATGTTATAAATGAAGTTTTAAAATATAAGAAACAGTAATTACGTTTGATATTTCGTCTATTTCACTCCAGAATTCCTTATCAGTCACTGGCTCTACTCGTATGTAGAAAGGGTCGATGAGTTTTCTATATCTTGGTATATCTTTATGGAACAACAATTTCTGTGGAGGTGATTCCTGTTCAATTCAATGGTAAATTATCCATGCTGATTACTTGTACATTCTTTCTTTTTTTTTATACTTTTAATCATTTCTGTTTGTATATATTCTTAAGAAAGCTACCGTTTCATATTACCAGAACTTACAAATTTGATATTAAAAAAACAAACAAACAAACAAACAGTTATCAAATATTATTTCGACTGTTAAGTGCCTTTAGATTATGGTAAATTCTTCTATGCAAAATCGAATTAACTCAATGAATTACAAAAAGAATACAAAAAAAGAAAACGAAAACATTTTCAAACATTTATAATAATTAACACTGAGAAGTTATAAACCTGACCTTGTTTACTTTGTGGGCTGTCTGTGTAAAGCTTTCTACAAACACTTGTCTTAGAATATCCAAACATGGTCCAACATGACCAGGTACATTAACATCAAACAGTATGTCTGGTTTACCAATCAGTGGAGCCCAAACTCGTGTACCATAACTAAAATATGATATATAGTAACGAAGATTTACAATACAAAATATGATGGATAGGGACACATTTTGCTACATAATGGTGGACAGAATATTAGTTTGTCCACGAATAAATATAGAAATTGGTTTAAATATCGCCCTAACAGCATAAACATCATGATGTACATGAACAGTGCAAATAAAAATGAGTAAAACAACACAAGGAGTTAAAAAGTCAGCAAGACAAAAACTGAGAAATAATAGTATAAAACAAAATAAATAAAATAAACTGCAAAAAGTGAAAGAGTTTATAATTAAAAGATGTACGTTAAACACATGTTACCTTGGAATGTAAATAACATATAGTTTCATGCAATATATTCCCGTTATTGAATATGAAAACACACTCACCACTCATTTTTCCATGCTTGTAGAACATCTGGCTCAATTTTATAATCGTTTCCAAATTTGTCTAACATGCAGAGGAAGTATCGAATTGATATTGGTAGTGATTGTGGGTCTATCAAACCCTCAAAAGTAGAATCGATGTAGTCGGTCAGAAGCAACTGGAAACAATACATTAAATATCAATTTTTTTTAAGGTAAATATGAAGAAACATAGTGAATGAGGCAACTTATTTTATAAACGAAACATAGTTCTATGTTTAAATGTCGACCAATATTCCGTATCAGCTATTCATTCTCAAACGTCTTCTAACATGTCTAATATGTCTGCATAGTTGCCATAGTTCAATAAAGAATCTTCTCTTTCAAACGAAAACAATTATTGATTGATTTATTTTTAATAATTTTAAAATTTCACATCCTCATCATGAAATATTTTTCTAAATCAATATCATTAACTATAAGTAAACAAGACTTGTTTTAACATTTAACAGTAAAGATAGATGGATATTTCTCTTATTTAAACATGTCTAACCATCGAAATTTAGAGTAAAATTTTGCAATTTTAGGGTGCTATATTATAGAATTCAATCAAATTTGTTTCATTCTGAAAAATCAAACCATAATCCATTATTAAATACCTTGAACGATACAGAAAACGTCGAAACCAAAGACGGATGATTTCCCTAACTGTTATTGTTATTAAACTAAAATATTCTAAAATGCAGCAGTTACATCTCCCATTCTCTTTTCGGACAAGAATCGCAGGTATCGATTTCGTTATATGTTGATGGACAATTATCAAAATAAATATTAAGATTGAAATAATGATTGGGTGTACACACATACTGTTACAATTCTCTAGAAAAACAACAAGGTATCACAAGAAAAAATTCGAAGAATGCTGCAGTTCTAGAAAGTAACTGTGTCGGTATACATAGTAACTTCATAACAAACAAAAAAATACATTTGAACTCTCAGGCTTTCGAAGAATATCAGAGCATTAACTTATGGCTTGTATACCGCCTGACATGTTTAAGTTGATACACTATTTAAGGGCTGCCTAGATGGAAGCTTTTAACCAAAGAGTGTTTACTGTTAATTACATTTTTGGTACCATTTTTTATCAACAGCAAATAAACATATGTGTCTGCTGACCATTTAATGTTAAAGTTTCAGCCACTTTCTTACCTTGGTATGGAATAATCTATTTAAAAAGATGTCCCCGAAGTCAGACTCTCTATTTGACTTTATGTCATCTGATAGATTTGGCTGAAAAATACGGAACTTCTGTTTATTTTAAATTAGTAAAGTTGTTTCTATATTTCTAAGAAAAATGTGTATTTATCCTTGAATTATATTAACATGCATAAATGACAAAAAAGTTTACAATGTATCAATTGTCCAATAAAACATATATCAAAGTCTCGAAGAGCCATGTTGAACATAACGTTACTTAACAATTGAAAAAGGTCCAGATTTAGAATATAGTTACAAAGAAGTATAAAATGTAATAAATGTGAAACACATCTGTAAAACACTCCATAATGGAAGGTGCACCACTTCGTAATCCGAGGAGTGAATTGTCAGATATATTTGTTAAAAGCTAACAAATGAGGTGTCTACAAAATGTGTACCAATTTTTTAAAGCCTAAAAAAAACACAAGGCCGCCTGTCATCTCCATACTGTAAACAATTTTAGCAATACAAAAAGTCCAAAAAGGCACAATTTTAGTCTTAGAGAACATGATTTATTTATTAGTTTTAATTGAGCTTGAACTAATTTTCTTTAACTGCGAATACTCTCAGATCGGTACTTCGTCTCTTTTATCTTTTTGTTACTTGATTTTGTGCTTAGGTTAAGCCCTTTATTACTGAATTAAACAAGGGGAGATTGAGCAATCACTTTCTTTATATGCCTGTCCCAAGTCAAGAGCCCACAATTCAGTGGCTGTCGTTGATTGCTCTTTTTATGTTGTTTATTTAGATATAAGAAGATGTGGTATGAGTGCCAATGAGACAACTCTCCATCCAAGTCAAAATTTATAAAAGTAAACCATTATAGGTCACAGTACAGTCTTCAACACGGAGCCATGGCTCACACCGAACAGTAAGCTATAAAGGGCCCAAAAATTACTGGTGCAAAACCATTCAAACGGGAAAACAAACGGTCTAATCTATATAAATAACGAGAAACACTTATAAACCACATCAACAAACGACAACTACTGAACATCAGAATCCTGACTTAGGACAGGTGCAAACAAATATTTGTGTATTGTCTGTTAAAATCAGGCCGTTGGTTTTCTCGTTTAAATTATTTCACACATTTTGTCGGGGTGTTGGCTGACTATACGGTAGAGGTTTTGCTCATTGTTGAAGACCGTACGGTAATCTATATTAGGTTTCATTTACGTCATTTTAACTCGTAGGGAAAGTCTCTCATTGACAATCAAACCACATTCCCTTATTTAATACCAACATTACCGATTTCTATGGTTAAGTGAGGATAAAAACTATGAATAAACGCCTGCTTTTAAAACAATTTAACATCGTTCTTACTTGATGACCTTTTGTATCTGACAAATTGATAACGTGATTATTAGGTCACATGTCGACAAAAAACTCATCAAAAATACCAGGGTTATAATTGGCTACATCAGACGCGCGTTTCGTGTTCATAAGACTCATCAGTGGAACTCAAATCAAAACAGTTGGAAAGAAAATCAAATATGAAGTTGACAAGTATAAAAAACAAGATATGAATTTAAGACGTGCTAGGCTTTAGATTGTCATGCCATTCTATGTACTATATAAAAAGTTAACAGTCCGCAGAAATATAGTGTTCATTGGTATTTTATTTTAATGCAGTACGCTAAATGTAAATGGGAAAGCACTATATTGGGTATCCTTTTGGTGATCGAACCAATAATAGCTAGTACACAGCAGCGGTAATTTACAAACTGTTTCATAGTAAGTTATAGTGACAGTATTTACCTAATATGTGGAAGTAAAACATGACAACGTTCAATATGTAAAATTAAAGCAAATGCAGAAAGATTCATCAAATATCCTTTCGGTAAAAGTATAGAAAATATGTAATCGCGAATTCAAAATCATGATTTATTTTTTACTGAGGAAAAAGGAATGAACATTTTCATAATTTCAATTAGTATGCGATTATTACAGTCAAAGCTGTTTTAATTAAGCATAAACACTTATATAATTTAAAACCAATGCATATGGATATTGCACATAGTTAAACCGTCATGAACGTTTTTTTTTTATTATACCTCACTATGTATTTTTGTATAACATCATAGACGGTTAAAATTTCTATTTTAACGAAATTGTCTCAAAAGACTATCAACTGGTTAATAATAAGAGTTTCAAAAACTATTTTCTGTGTATGAACTACAACGTATTTACTGGAAGCAAACACTTTTGCCGTATTTTCCGTACCCCTTTACATCAATTATTGCCCTCTACTTCACTTCTTGAATTAGTTGGTGACCTGAGGGACAATTATCTTTCTATTGTTCTCATAGACAGCAAATAAGTGATAACTATTGATCACTAGACATTAAACAATCAATGTGAAATTCGCATAGCTTTATTCGTTCATTTGGTAATTTGAAACTACATAGAATAAAAGGCAATTTAAAACTATAATTTTTAAATGTACCCCTAGCGTTAACATTCATAATAACACAATATACAGTGTGTTAAAATGGAATTGTAAGGTTTTGCATTCATATATATTTACATTTTTAATCTCATATGCTGTTTAAAGCAACACATGATAACACGTATGTAAAATATGACATATGTAGATAAATTTGATGTAATAATCACTCCATCCAACTTGTTAATCATAAATGAATCATTTATTAGTGTCTAGTGTAAGAATGCCAATTATGTTGATATAAACATAATTTTATAAGGGTATCTAGCAGTAGTAATTCTACGCATTATGTTCGATTAATTTAAATTTGCCATTGCGTTTTTGCCAAAGATATAAGTAAAATACATTATGTTGTAAATATCATTTTCTATTCTATTCTATCGCAAAATGTCATGCTAAGAGAGGCTGTTGCATATATACACATATATATAAATATTTACAAGACAATACTGAGATGAGTAAATTTTCTGTATTATAAAGTTGTTATAATTTTCTCAAGGGCACTTACATCGGAAAGTAACTGCAAAGGGATTTATAATAGAAAATCAAATGTATTATTATTAATTTCAGACAGTCCAGCCCACGCTTTGTGATAATTTTAATATCATGGTGACTGATAGATTTACGATCAGAATCCAAAAAGTGTAAGCACTGTAATTTTTTGTGTTTTAAAAGGAATTAGTAGGTTAAAAAACAGAATATATCAAGTACAATGTATTAGTTTTAAATAAGACAATCACCAGATGATACATAATAACTAACATAATATAAATGTTAATTCCAAGAAGAGTCATCAAACTTACAATATAGTAAGTCAAACGTGTGTTTCGTCTTCATAAGACTCATTATCGGCGCTCCACTCGAACAATTAGAAAGACAACTCCAAAAGGAAATTGAGGGGTTTAGAAAATCAAATATTCTATCTATGTTTGGGGGCGGGAACACGTTAGTTCTTGAGCAAAATGTTTCAACAGTCTTATTTCATTAGCTTGTTTGAGTGTTTACTTGACTCCAATACCCCCAGAGATAAAACGTCCACCCTCAGTGTTATCAGTCCCATGGCTGTAAATAATTCGTCAAAACATTTCAAACAAATAATGTACATGAAATTATCTAACTGTGCATTTTCTTGCATAAGCATGGCTAAGGCCGTCTATGGCTAGGGGGTAAAAAACACGTTTGATAAAAATTCAACATTTTATGAACGGTTAGTTCAGAGACAAGAACAAAATTGATGAGGTGTCGTGTCAGCAATGGTTTGACAATTACTAGGGATGAAATCTCCATTAGTAGTGCAATCAACCCAGATATTATTAAAAAGATATAAAACAAGAACAAATCCTTATGTTACAGAAGTGATGAAAGTCTCTACAATTGAAAGTTGTAAAAACGATACTATTGTAATAGCTAAATTAGATAAGCATAATATTGCAGCAGATGGTCTGAAACTATACACACAGCATCACATCACTCTACTTACCGAACATGTTTCCTTTAGAGAATTATATTGTATAATATTATAAACTCGCAATTAACAAAACTGTAAAAACTATTATACAAATTTTGAAACAAACTTATGGATATCTTCACTTACTAGTCATTTGTACCTTCAGGCATTAAGGTATCACTTTGATATTGCCAATGCAGTCACGTACAGTCTTTAAAAATAATGTTGAAGACATGTACATGTATGTATACATATTAAACAGACTACCAGAGAGTTATTATCGATGTGCAAAAATGTATATGTATTTAAGCATTTACAACTACCATCTATAAAAAATCAGATAAATTTTTCTGCACAACTTTTCTTCTTAAAGGAAATTTAAAAAATCATTTAAAAATTTGGGAAATTTCTTACGGTTCATTGATATCATTATCTTAGGGGATAATACATGTAATATGAAAGTCTTAATACTTATGATGATATTAGAAAAGTTGACCAATGTTTAGGACTGTACTTGTTTGTATCTGATCATTAAGACACACAAAAACACGTTGACTTTAATGTTGTCAAAAATACAAAATATACATTGTAAATAAAACAGAAGTTAATATACCAAGTGCCATTTGTGTGCTTCTAGTTCCTCAACTCCACTTTTGTCCGGCATTAGTAATGTTATATCCTCTGACGTGACACTTTCCGTGCGAAGTCCAGTTGAATTCACTAGCAAATAAAAATAAGGACTATAATTCATGTAACTTTAATTCGAAAATCATTTTCACCATTCAAGTCTAATACAATTTCAAAATATACGATCCGCATCTTAAGGAACTATTATACAATCTATAGTAATATGTCTTCAGTAAATGATTCGATACTGTAAAATTACGTCACTTATTTGCCCAACACATTTTTTTGTCCTCTTGACACTTCTTGCGGTTGTCTTTACGGAAAGGAGATGTTAGATACATGTTTTTAGGAGTCAACAGAAACAAAGAAATAAGAAAAAAATGCAATGGTAACGTGATAACCAATTGTTTTCAACGTAAATGACACAAAAACTAAGCCCTCAACAATTTCCCATGCATCTTATACGTATACATGTTTTTGTCATTCGTGGTTTATGCAAAAAAGGCAGACTGTATAACATATATTCAAATGTAGTTGCATAGCTCTACATAGACTTAAAACATTTATACGATATGTAACAGAAGTAGTAAAATAATGAAAATCCGATTACCATGATTACAGAGGTTTCCAAAATTGTTATGCAAACATTTCAAAGCGCGTTAACAACTACTTGAATACTACAGGATAACATAAGTGAACTCAGTATCTACTAAGATGCAAAAATCAGATGGACAGTTTATGCACAAACAATGTTTAGAAAACTACCACTGACAGTAGACATGTTCAATTATTTACCATAAACATCGTCGTCGTCATGATGTGTATACATTAGTGCCATTCTACTGTTGTCTTTAACCATATAATGTTTTAAGGTATTCAGGCATACAAGTCCATTGTTTCTATCACTAGTGTTGTCAATATCATTCAGCAAAAGTTTTCCTGCTTTTCCCTCTTGCCATTCTAAGATAATAAAACATGTTTGATACAAAAAAATAGTAAGTGTATCCACTGATTAAAGTCGTCATTAAGTTATTCCTACGTGATACGATGATCATGATGACCTGCAATGTGTCCCACAGCAAAGATTGATGCAAATATTGATAGTTATTTAAATGCTCAATTAGAATCGCCAGTAAAACTGCATTTCCGACCGTCAAGTCGCCAATTGACGGCAGCAACTTTTTAACTATAGAACTGTTATTCCATAATTTGACGGTCGCAAGTATTCGTATCACTAGCTATTCTCCGCGTTGCCAGTGAAACATCATTTGCGACCGTCAAATCCCTAATCGACAGTGGCAACGTTTTAAATACAGTACTGTTTTCCTTAAATATATGTAAATCTTGTGACTTCTCTTATACATGGCACATGAATATACCAAGTTAGAATTTCGCGAAAGGAAATCACTGCAAAATCGGCTGGAAAAAAGCTAACCACAACAAAAAAGTATCCGCCAAAAAAAGTTGGATCACAGTATATTGATTGAGAGAATCATGTATCTCCTTTCTGTAATGTCATAGGCCTCAAGCTACATCCTTCGTTTTCAAACAAAGATTTTTTCTATCTTTTAAGGAATGTGCAAATTGTGTCATGCTTACCATAATGAAAACATTAAAGTTATGATATTTTTAATGATAAAATGATTTTGGAGGTTAAAACGGATGTAGTTTTGTAAGCTATATTTTAATTCTTACAACAATGTGAGTTAATTGATTGATTGTTGGTTGCTTAACGTCTAGTCAGTTAATGAATTGCCCTTATGAATGTCAGAAAGTATAGATCTATCATTTATATTTGATAATCGGGTTCCAAAAATGGAAATTGCTATATGTAAAATGATTAAAAATGTGAAAATTATATCATTATTCCAAATAATTAATCAGCAGAATTATTAAATGACCGATGTTTTGTTATGCAATTTGTTTTCAAAGCTCCAAATGAGATTGAAGGCATTTTCGAGTTCAAAAGTGATTCAAATACTATATGTTGTATTTTCCAAGCAGTATCATTAGGCAATTTTCAGAAAGAGAGAAACTATACCAATAGGAGTCAAACGAAAATCTAAATTTCTTTGTAAACAGACAACCCTATTGACGAAATAAAAACGACATACAATTAACAATACAAGAAACACAGCCCAATTTATAACGGAGCTCCAAATATTTTTTTTACAGTTTTCAAGGGGTACAAAAGGGATGCAGACATTAAATTCCGTTACTGACTTGCGCATTGAGCTGCTAGATCCCAATCATTATTGTCACATTAACCAATTATATCTGTTTGGGTTGCTCACCCTATTTTATAAATTTAACGGAATTATAAACAACTGTCATACTATTTAGCTAGCTATAAAACCAGGTTTAATCCACCACTCTCGTCATACAATGCCGGTACAAAGTCAGGAATATTTCTGTTATTTTTCATTTATCCAGTTGGTTGATATGGTATAACGTTTGGTTTTGTCAGGTAGTATGGACCTCTCCCTTTTTGAATTTACCTTGGAGTTCGGTATTTTGTAAAAGGTATTTTGGAAGACTTCGGACTCCTTTAAAGTTATCAGTGTAAACGACTTGTTCAAATGACTCTGAGTTGTGAACTCTTATGACTACATATTGTAAACAAATGCACACGTCTATATGTATAGTGATAAGAACTACATACCTAAAGAAAGTTCATCATTGTGTGGTATTTCTGAAGCAGGTTTATTTTTATAAATCTGCGCACAACATTTCTGTTTCACCTGTGATATTGTATCACAGTCAAGAACTTTCACAGGATAATGCTGGTCACTATTTCCGTTCAAATCTATTTGTAACGTCTAAATAAAATAAGACATAAACTTATAATTGTTGAAGGTATAACATAATGATCTTGTTCTCCTCGAGAAAAAAGTGTTAAGTATCTACTGAATAAATGGAGAAAGGAGCATCTACCGTATTGGAAATTGCTGTAATATTATAACATTGATAGCTGTGGAATCACCAAAAGCTAGACAAGCATTTACGAAATACAAGTTTGATATAAGTATAAATTTAAAAAAAAAAACACTATTTGAAATTTTTCAAATGTGAACAAAATATTGCCATTCGTTTAATGACAGTTTAACATCTTATTGACTTAACATAGGTATTTGCCCTTTGTAAGAACCTACAGATTCGTGTATATCGTTAGAATTGGTAACATAATGGAAAAGAATGCATATAGTGTCTGAATCAATATCACTACATGTTTATCAAACTACCAAAGGCAAAATAACAACACTTTGATAGCCGGTCCGGGTGTGTCGACAGTACAGGGCAAGTCTCTCTTACAATGCATCTATAACCCGCGTTCGAATCCACTCTTAGTCAAACGTCATAATCGGGAATAGGATACAATCGGTAAATTAGGATATCAGACGACTTTTAGTGTCTCATAAGTCGTTTTCGGCTGGCATCCTTTTACTAAATGTTAGGTTCTTATGATTTTATGTGTATATATATAGATACTGTAATGGATGGTGACACTTTAATAAAATAAAATAAATCTTACTATTCTTTTAACGGTAATTTTTTGTATATATTGAAAAGTCGATTTCTTCAAAACCGGAGCAGAAATTCAAAAGAACTAAGATTCAAATCGGTGTGGCCTTAGATCTGAAGATCTATCACCACGAAAACTTGTCTCTACTGAGTTGAGACACAGACACATAGTATCGGTCATTTAATTGGAGATAGATGTGTCGATTTCATTTATTCCTCCTGATAACTCAGTTGAAGCATTTTTTGTTCATGTCAAGTGCAATTCCCTGTTAATGAAGTCCGTAAAGTGTGAGCGTACATGCACGTAACGTATTTATTGAGATATGCAAACGCCATACGATTGAGCAGAGGGTATGTTACTACTAAGAAATGGGGAATGTGACCATTGGAAAATTGAAATCCTAACGTTTGTCATACATTTTGAGTTTGAAGTCGTCCACCAAACTCACTATCAAGGAAAAGATTAAGATGTAATGCGGACCTTCTGGTTTCAGCAGTATCTTTAATCGCCAGTTCACTTTCATATTAGTTTCATATTAGATGTAAACACTCAACGAAAGTGTGTTATTAAGCGACAGGACATCATCAGTCGATTTGAAAGTAAAATTTAAAAACTCCGCAAATAAAAAATGTCTTTATTCAGACGTCGTCAGGAATTGCAGACAGTTCTGACCTCAATTCATTCTTTTTAGATGAGTTCATGTTCACCAATCGCAAAGTTTCTGTGAAGATTTTTTTTGTCCTTTTTTTCATAGTGTCGTCAGCTTACCATCGATGTATAGTTCTTAGTGACCCCCTTGTCATTATTGTGATGTTTATGTATCCTTGCTTCAACTTATGATATTAAAAGTTACTTCATGCAATTATTTAGAGTTCTTTGAAATGTACACTTGTCTGAGTATGGATACATATTAATATCGGTTAAGATTGAAATAACCGATTTAGTAATGTCATGTAACTGATATTTTACTTACAAGATTCTGATGTTCAATCCTCATTTTAAGTAGCTTCTCTTCTGCAATGGTGTTCTTTGAATTACCTGTTAGTGCATCTATTGGTCCCATTTCAATAATTGTTTGCACTGCTCTATATAGCATAAACAAATGTATACCACTGCGTGACTGCAATCAAACAATGAAAATCAAGTATTTCTTTGTGAATGATAAATTGAATTCAGCAATATATTTTCCTTTGCATTTTTGGTGAATTCATATCTGAACACAAAAACTAGGAAAAAATGAAATAAAATACTTTTTTCATGCTTGACTCGTTTTTTAACCCCTTTAAATGATATAATCCTTATGAACTTCAATTGAATGTACCTATCATTTACGACAAGAGTGCACACGCTGAAATGTCTCGCCTTCTTTACTAACCATTGATATTATGTTGATAGTCCTAAATATAGAGCTTTACTACAACTATCACATAAACTTAACATGATCCAAGAAAATGAGTTCAAAGTCAGATAAACCAAACTGGAAATACATGTACACCTTACAGTCATTCCATAAACCAAATATGCTTTAAATATAGTTGCCCTATTCCACATCTAAGAAACAAACTTAACCAGGAAAACTTAACATTGATCAATGAACCATGAAAATGAGGCCAAGGTCATATGAACCCTGCCAGACAGACATGTACACCTTACAATAATTAAATGCTTTAAATCTAGTTGACCTATTGGATATAGTATCTAAAAAACAAACTTAACCAGGAAAACTTAAGATTGACCAATGAATGGTGAAAATGAGGTCATGGTCAGATCATAATTGCCAGACAGACATATACACCTTACAATTATTCCATACACCAAATATAGTTGCCCTATTGCTTATAGTATTAGAAAAACAGACAAAAAAACAACAAAAAACTTAACATTGAACAATGAACCGTAAAATTTGAGATCAAGGTCAAATAAAACATACCAGACAGACATGTACATCGTAAAATATTTTCATACACCAAATATAGTTGACCTATTGCATACAGTAATAGAAAAACAGACCAAAACACAAAAACTTAACTTTAACCACTGAACCATGAAAATGAGGTCAAGGTCAGATGACACCTGCCAGTTGGACATGTACACCTTACAATCATTCCATACACCAAATATAGTAGACCTATTGCTTATAGTATCTGAGATATAGACTTGACCACGAAAACTTAACCTTGTTCACTGATCCATGAAATGAGGTCGAGGTCAAGTGAAAACTGTCTGACAGGCATGAAGACCTTGCAAGGTACGCACATACCAAATATAGTTATCCTATTACTCATAATAAGAGAGAAATTAAGAATACTAAAAATCTAACGTTTTTTAAAGTACTCACTGAACAATAAAAATGAGGTCAAGGACAATGGACATATGACAGACGGAAATTTCATAACATAAGGCATCTATATACAAAGAATGAAGGATCCAGGCCTTCTACCTTCTGTAATATTAAGCTTCTAAGAAGTTTGTTAACGCCGCCGCCGCCGCCGGATCACTCTCCCTATGTCGAGTTTTCTGCAACTAAAGTCGAAGGCTCGACAACAAAACTAAGCATACATTTGTTCAATAACAAGTTGTATACATGACAGCAGAATGTTGGTAAATTTATTAGTATTTAATGAAAATAATATGGTTAAATACAGCTATGTTTACCTATACTACCCGATAGAACATGTTATATAAAAGTATATCATATACTAGTACGTAATACTGGAAGATATGCAAATACATCATAAGTTTTACAAATGTTTTAGAACACTACATACCGTTAAATGTTTGTACAGTCCTATCTGTAACCAATTGACCATTAATCTCATAGTTATAGAGTCAAACCTGTTAAATACACAAATAAACACACCCATAGAACATACTTTCAATGATCGCAAAAAGAACATATTAAACTATGTAGATAGTCTTATAGAGTTTCAACTAAACATTTTTAAAGAATAAAGATCATCATTAAAAAATGCGTTGAGATTTGAACAGATGCACATTGTTCTTAAAACTAAACTTAAACGTACCTTCGGAATAAAACTTTCTGTTGCTTTTTCGATGATGACCGAATCATATCAACCAGTAAACAATGAACCAAACTTCAAAATAAAATATAAGTGATGTGAGTTAACAAAATTAAATGTAACAAAATAATGTAATACAGACAATAACATGGCCAAAAGGAAACAGGTCTTACATTTGTAGGGTACATTGTGTCTTTTGTCATTTTATCATTTGGCTTTGTGTTAAAGATCGAGCTGATGAGTCAAATCCGTTGCAACTCATTTTAACCAATTTTTTCGTATGTTGTGTTGTCACAACACTGTCACATGTATGGAGAGGAGCGCTATCAAGCACAATTATTACCGCCACGTTCTTTATGTCTATGATGTCTATTCCACGTCAGAAACATGGAATCATTGGTTGTCGTTATTTGTAGTCTGTCATAACTTGTTTTTCGTTTATTACTGTAGTATAAATCAGGTCGTTGCTTTTTCTTTTGAAATGTTTGACATTTGTCATCCCATGGCCTTTATTAGATAACTATACGGTATTGGTTTTTCTCATTGTTGAAGACCGTCATTTGGTCTTGAGGAATAGTTTTCGCATCGCCATTAGAGTACTAGGAGAAGATAATACAAAATAAACTTACTCGAAGAAGAGTCTCATATTTCCAAGCAATGAAACCGACAACACGGATGTAAAATGAGCCCTGAAATGAATGAAATTTAGTTGTTTTTAATAACAATGGAGTAACATTTATAAGACACATCAGTTGACCACATAACAATAAACTTCTAAAAGAAATGCTCTTGTAGTGTTGATGAGCTGTATATATTGAAGCTTTATAGTTTATGCTATGCTCCAAAACACTTTCTAACGAAATGAGGAAAATTAAAAATGTGAGTTTGAGTTTAGTATTAATATGATCTGAGTATTGACACCTTTCACATTTTCCTGCTTGCATTACACGAGGTAACCTAGAATACAAGTTCCTCTGGGATGTTATCTTCCTCTTCTTTTACCTTACTTTAATGATTTAATTTAGTTGTCCTTGTCGTGGTTTGAAGCAGATTGTATTAAATAATGCGCAGAACGGGTAATCTTCAATTCATATATTTAAGGAACGACTGTCATATTTATTCTGTTTGTGAAGAAATAACGTCAAAAATGGGGTGCACACTGAATAATCCGAGTAGCCGGTTTTTTAAAAATGTGCACCACATTTTTGAGGTTATTTGGAATAGGCAGAAACAATATTATAGTCAATCCTTATGATTTAATTCTCAATTCCATTTTTAAGGATTAAGTCATTAAAAAAACGTTGATGACGTCACGGTCACATGACAAAATTATGTCTATGAGCTGATAGACAAAAACTTTCAGCCAATCAGAAGACGTGTTACATCAAAAATTAAATTATTTACTTTTACATTGAATTAGAGGAGAGATGTATATTATTATTACTTTTCTTGCATTGTCAGCATATTCGGCCGATCTAATGTTTGAATAAGTGACTTCAGGAAAAGCTTATTGGACAACAACATTTCAAACTTGTCCATCGCACTTTTTATTCCGGCTTTCCTGTCATCTGTTATCTGAAATTAAACCAATAAAAGTCTTTAGTATCACGATTCATAAACTTTTTATATGTCTGGTTACTTCAGAAACTGATTGTTTTGGCTTTCTATCGTACCTGTAATAAGGGTATTTGTTTTTGTTTTAAAAAGTATAAATGAATGTTTGAAAGCATATATTCTTATCAGCAAATTTGATATATATATTTTCTTTTGTTTAAAGTTCAAAATATCAGAGAGAGGAAACGTAAAAATCATGAAAATCATAAGACCACCACTTTTCTTTAAAAGTCGTCGTTTTATCTTTAAAAAGCTCAAGCCAGGAGGACGAGAGATGGAATACCATACAATTCATAGCCCATAGGTATATACTTTATTTCGAAAAATTCCTCATCTATAAAATATAAACATTAAAAAAGTTTGTAACAGAATATCTGTTTGATTGTGTTCGAAGAACAACGATCTTAAGTTTCGTTTTTGCTATGTGAACCATAGAATCAATACTGTACTGTATTTACTACCGAATTTGTACTTGCCATTACTGGTGCCACCCTTAGGACAGAATTGTCTTACCAGGCTGGGACACCTGAAACCACCCATACTGTTTCATGAAGACCGTGTTGCTCAGTTTTTAGTAACTCCAAGGTAGATTAAGTGCGTAGTGTTTTGTGGATTATTGTTAATCTTTCCGCTGTTTTTCCTTTTTGCTATGGTTAATGGTACATTCTGTCTCATTTTTATATAATTATCATAATTATAATTATTTATTGGCTTTAAAATATTTGATTACGTTACGAAACATGCAAAAGGTAGATTGAAAGACATATCAGGCCAGTTTTTTATATTTTCATACATCTCGCTAAACACGAAATGATTTTTATTTCAACTTATAAATAATATATGAATCATATTTAAATTTTTTTTTTTCAAAATTAAATATTGCAATGCGCATCTTACCTCTGAATCATGAAGTAAGGGATTATTGGTTATATCTTGGTTCGGAAAGAGCTGAAGAAGAATATACGTTTGATAGTTGGAAAATGGTACTCTTGTAGTAACGAGGTCCGATTTTATGTCCCTGATATTCATTTGGGCATCGGCAAATTCTACAAAATAAAGTAACGAAAGAGAAACGTTTAAATTGGCTATTGTAATATAATTCACAGTCAAAATAAAAGCATTAATCTTACAAACGAATACAAATTAATTTATAAAACCAAATACAATTTGTTGATTATTGATTGCATACCGTCCAGTGGCAAACATTTCATGCATGTTCAGGACGAAAACAACACAACAATACATACAATAACTAGGTCTTGAAATAGGGGTCGACCGGGATGAAGGGCGGTCAATTTTGACCAAGAGTGACCATATATCTATTCCTTAGTAGCCTTCGGGTAAATATAATTAAACTCTTGCATATTCATCAGGATCACCATATTTATATATCAATCAATAATAATATTTCCAAAAAAAATTGCAACTATAGAATACTTTAATTACTATCTGAAAGATAAGTTGTGAAATCATTTGTTTTGTGCCAATTTGAATCAGAGGAACACATTATATTTTTGCGAAGTTAATGGAGGAAATTAAATCACTTTATACTAACAAATTAGACAAAAAGACCTTCCAATGTAAAACCCTTTCAGTATCTCTATTTCTCTGACAAGAAGAGTATTCCAATAATATAAAGTGGTTGGTTTGATAACCCGCATTTCAAATATCCTTTGTTGTGAGAGATTAGTCTCTTTGATAATTGGCATAACTGTTTTTAAAGTATTTTTGTACGACATATCATGTGTGCATGTACACGCGTACGGCGGATAAATTACATGAATAAACGAAGACCACTTGTCTGAAAAAATAGTATCAAATGAAAACCTATCACCTTCTCTACTAGCTTTTCTGATCGTTTCTTCCCTTGTCATAAGTTCCATTTTAAATTCTTTGATAGCCTTTTTCTTCTTTTTTCGTAAAATGACTACAGCAGATATGCCAATTACAACAGCTGTAACCAATGCAGCCGCCAAAATAGCAACTATGATGGCTAATGTATTGACGTCTTCTTTGTATTGTAGGTCACCAATGTACGCTTTTATATTTCCAACATTAACCTATATATTAAAAAAGTGAGATATCAGTACCTAAATTTCAAACAGATTGTGGAAGAATAAGTAAGATTACAGGAACCGTTTTTAAATTTACGAGTTCTATAAACAACATCACCGTACAAATTAGAAATCAGATATCCCGTTTATAAAAAGGTTTCTATACCACAAACTAAATGTTTGCATCAAATGAAAAAAAAATATTAAGATTTTATTTGTAATGTATGATAACGAAATCCCTGGTCTAATAACTTACCAGATATACATAGACTAGAATAATTGATATATAAATCGTCATTTCAGACACGGACATAGTGAATTAAACATACCGTAAGAAGGGGATTAAAAACAATCAACATTCAAAAAAGCAAGTTGGCAAAAGGGAACAAAACAATACTTTTTTTTGTTGAACATTTATGTATGGAGTTTCTCGTGTAAAACTGAAAATGCAAATCAAGAAAAGGCCAAGTACTGCTGTTGATGTCAAATTTATTATTTTTTTCAAAGTAATATCCGTTTTGTAAGTTACCGCAAAATAGGTATACAGTTCTAAATTATTTAAAAAAACTTATCATCAAGGTAACGGTACGTGTTAACTAAATATTCTAAGAAATGCAACTTAGAAGAATCTTTACTGAATTTGGCCATAAACAGTGATCAATAATAATACTTAAACAAGTCACCTAATAAAGAGGAAAAGTTGCTGGCAGAAGGAATGCCGTATACATGTCGATGAACTGCATTGCTAAAACGTAAATTGATGTTGTCGATCAACAGCTGTAATCATCTTACTACAGTTCCAGTAAGAGTATTTAGAATATTTACCCGTTTCATTTCAGATTAAGACTAACATAAGTGACAGCCAAAGATATATGTACAATCAGATTTTCAAGTAGAAACATTTAAAATGATAAGTAAGAAAACTTCTTAAAAATGTAGTGTACGTAGTACGTATTACGTCCAAAGCGAGTTTCTTCACGAGTCCAACATCTGTTCCGTTGTTTATAACAATTAGATCAAATAAATTTGAATACGAGACTACAGTGAATGCATCAAGAATCAAAAGGATAGTACACATCATGTAAATATTTTTTTGTAATAAATGATACATATTTAAACAGAAGGATATACACACATTGTATTTGATAATTGATTGGTTGTTGTTTGCATCAAATGTCCTGTGAAGATTTTGTTAATACCTAAACATTAATAAATGTCCTTTCCTAGATTGAGAAATTTCAGTTTTACACGAAAAACTCTTCATAAAAAAGTACGACAAAAGGGACGATTTTTCTTTCCATATTGGTATTTTCCTTTTTTGGACGGTAATATTCCTTTGACACCGTGTTTATATATCCAAACTCGTTCGCTATTTCCGTGTCTGTAGTGGCTTTTTGGATCCCAATAAGCGCAATCGATGTATAACTGGTAAACTATTAAGTCAGGGAATTCATTACCACTAATTATTTAAAACCTTTACTAAATTCTTTCATAGACACAAAGATTTCATTTGGAAGTTTGACTGTACCTGTAGGAAGAAAACTCATTGTTTACATTGACTTGGTAGACTTTTGACACAATACTAGTGCACACTCAATTGTTCAGACGCAAAATTGCACTATATTAATTCGTATGTCAAATAAAGAGACATTAAACATATCTACAGGAAACATTTATAAGACTTTCTTTGTCACGTTTGTACTTCACAATTTGGAATGACACTATTAAATCAGGGAACACGTAATCAATATATATATATATATATATCCGCAGTATTGCCAACTAACATATTTCTTCTGAGTCAATGCATGGAGATTCTTAAAAATACTTGTTTCGAATGGAACTTATGTCTACATTCTTTATAGTGCTAATTAAGATTTTGCTAAAAGGTCAAATAGTGTGCATAAACACCGACCGTTAGTAAAAGCAATAGTTGTGGTAACCAGTACTAAATATAAAGTGTTTATTTTTGGACCGTATTTTACAGATGTCAACTAAAGAAGCAAGTATTTGCAATCACACGACATTAACAATGCAGATGAAATTGTGTACTCTTACTTCTGTGCTTTGTGTCTATTGTTTTATGTTAGTTGTGTTTGTTCCTCGTACCAACATTTCGAGTTAAGCCAATTGCTACCGAGTTTTACAGTTTGTTCTTATGTTGTACTGTTACACCGCTGTCCCAGGTTAGGGGAGGGTTGAGCGCTCACAAACGTTTTTAACCCTGCCACATTCATAATGTGCCTGTCCCAAGTCAGGAGTCTGTAGTTCAGTGGTTGTCGTTGCATGGTTCATGTCTGTTAAATTTGCTTTTCGTAAATTGTTTTGTTATAAATAAGACTATTAGTTTTCTCGTTGGAATTGTTTCACTGTTATAGTCGCCTATACGGTATGGGTTTTTCTCATTGTTGAATGTCGTACGGTTGCCTATAATTGCTTACATCCACTTCATCTGAAATTTGGTTCAATAGATGTCTCATTGGCAATCATACCACATCTCCTTTTTTTTATATCATTGAATTTAGTTGATGAATTCGATAAAGTTGCTTCCGATAAAGAAGAAAATTAACGTTTTAAGTTTAAAAAGACTTGTTCTATTATTCAGTGAAGTTAACCATTAAACATTTCTGTTTTACGTTTGGTTTACAATAGATTTTTTTTTTCAATAATAAAAAGATATTGATACAGAAACATTTGCTTCTGAAGGGATAGCAGCACCTGATGCACATGCGTTACCTATCGTTTTGTTCATTACATATAAAAGTAGTAGATTAGTCGCATTCGGTGATTCGTCATACCGTTTATGACTAAGATCAACTGAACATGCGTGTCATGATAGCAGTTTTACATGTTGTTAAATTCTCTGAAGAGATGACTTTAATCATATCAAATAGCTTTATCTTAATAAGTAAGCCTCTATTATGAAAATGCACATAGGAAACATAAACTGTAGAATATCATATCAAAATGCAGATTAACAACCAGTATAAATGTGGCTTGAGTATTGTGGAATATTGATACATAAAGTGGAAAGGTCACAATATGAAAAAAGAAGTCATATGTTTTTTTTTCATAAACTAAGTCCTAAAAATAAGTTATAAGTATAGATGAATGTTCAATTAAAAGCCACTACAAAGCACAGGATACGTTGCAGACATTACATGCAATGTACGTGATACAATTTATGCATAAACCACATAATTCGTCGGGATGAAAACTATAAGAGAGAGGCGAAAGATACCAAAAGGACATTCAAACTCATAAGTCAAAACAAAAACTGATAATGCCATGACTAAAAAAGAAAACGACCAACAGACAAACAAATGTACACAAAACACAACATAAAAAATGATACCTGTTTTATGCTTTAATGCATGAAATGAATAGTTAGGGAATCTTTCACAGACAGTATCTCGTTTACAGACTTAAAAAGACTATCGTTAAGAAAAAAAGTAAATAACAAAAATACCGAACTCCAAGGAAATTGAAAACGGAAAGTCCCTTATCAAATGGGAAAATCAAAAGTTCAAACACATCAAAGGAATGGAAAACAACTGTCATCTTTCAACATTTTTGGTATATGGATGTGCATGTTAATTACAAAAAGGGTAAACAGTAAAATCACAAAAATACTGAACTGACCATGAAATTAGTCTTTACTAATTCTGAAATCATGCGTTTGAACTATTGGTTACTTGCTTATATATCTAATATGCATTATATTTAAAACGCTTTGTTTCATGGTGGACTTTTTGACGGTGAGTTTATGAATTTGAAGGATGAAGATATATTTATTTCATAAGATATACACAATAGTGAAGTACAACATTTGCGAATGAAACTGGACAATTGATAAGAGTGTACAGGTTAATGTAGGGACATTTAATGGTTTAAGTACCAACCCAATAAAAGAAGGTTCAGTCTTTGATCTATATATTACAGAATTTTTTTTTACAACAGATATCTCTTCTAATCTCTGTTGAACGAAAATTGCCATAATTATCATCTACTCTAAATATGACATATATGCACTTCCATTATTTTTTTTAATACACATACATTAAGGATATTACTTACAATAACATGAACCGTATTCACATCTGTTTTATTAGTCCGAGGTACTGATTTAGGTGGGTAACATGTGATAAGTTGCATATTTATATCAGTAATGAAACAACTTCCATCCAAACCAACATGTATTGTGTAGTCTGTAGGTCGTGCTCCATTCAAAATATTTTTACCCTATAAAGAAAATAATGGAAGTGATAAAGTAATATAGGTATGCCTTGTACTTTCTACCTATTTAAAACTGTTGTATTAACGATAGTGCAATGATGTTATGAAATAATGCAAACAACAAACCCATGTATGTTTTGGTTTACCATTTAGGTAGAGAGAAAGAAGGAGAGAAAGAGAGATTCTTAATGCTGATTCAGAAATATATCACAGTAACATTGAACTATCAATGTAACTAAAATTCCATTAGCTATTACAGAAGGAAACAATAGCCTACAAAAAATGACTTTTGTTTTTTTGTCATTTAAAGGACTGTGGATTAATACTTGATATGTTTGTGTCACTTTGACCCTGACCGATCACTTTTTGTCCATGGTGTCAGCAGCATCTGAGTACAAGGTAAGTACGGATTAACAATGTTTTTAATTTCCTCCATAATATTTTTTTACTTTTTCTCAACAACTGTATTTATTGTTTTGTATGTTTTATTTTCATTATTGACGCTATATATAATATATAACACAGCGGTTGGACCTAATGAAGCAGGAACTTTAAAATTTTCAAGAAAATCAGAGTTTGTCAGTGCGATTTGTGCCGTTCAAACATATTTTTTTTGCTGTGTAAAGTCTTTTTTCCTATCAATTCGAATTTATGGTTTTGATTGCCTGAATTGTATCTTTCTCCGTTGTTTGTCTTAATATCGAAGCATTTTGTAATATACCTATCAGTTTTAGCAAAATGCAAATATCTCTTCTTATGAACAAGACAAAAACCAACTTGCTTTGTTAACTATTTATAAGCATTGTATTTTCAAAATTGGATAAGGACTTAGTTTGACCATTCACATGACTTCTGTTCAAAATTGTTTAAAGTTCTCTATTATCTATTTCAGTAATAAAACTGATTGTAAAAGAGAGGCATAAGATACCAAAGGGACTTTCAAATTCATAAGTCATTAATAAACTGACAACGTCATGGTATAAAAAGACAAAATAACAGTATATAAAACACAACATAGAAAATTATAGACTGTGCAACACGAACTGAGGGAGAACCTTTCATTATATTTATAATAACATGCTGACCAATAGACGTATAAGTCTTGGAAAACATGATTACTTGTATTTTGGGTTGAACTAGCCCTCAACAACAGCAAGTACTCTTAGATCGGTATTTTTTTCTTTTTTCTTATGTTATGTTTTTTTTATTTTGTGCTGATCTGGTGAGTAAAGCCATAAAACTGGTTTCTACTGTTGATTATTATGTTGTGCTGGAATACCACTGTCTGTGTCGAGAGAAGGATTGAACCCTGAAGTGTTCTTTGTGTAAGTGCCGGTCCCAAGTTATGGTTGGCTGATGTCCTCAATATTTGTTTTTTGTTTAATGTTTTTTAAGATAAATCAGTCCACGTCAACTCATTGATTCTTTAAAAACAAATATTCGTAAAGTAATTGATTTAGTTAAATAACTAAATATGTATTGCTATCCAGTTTTAAATTATGATTCTACATCCTATCGATGCAATGTATTTCTATTTTGGCACAAGGGTATGCTTTTCGAAGACTGTTTATCAGGTCTCTATACACTAAATCCGTAGGATGTTTACTGACTTGGTGATTTAGTTACTAGTTGTACTTGGTTTAGAACTAACATAAAGAAACTGCGAATAATCTTGAATCAGTACTGTGTGTTTTTTTATGCAAGTGTTTGTGTGCTTTGTGTCAATATGATGAGTTAAGTTTGTGTCAACTGATTTTTACAATTTGTTGTTATGTTTTGCTGTAACACCGCTGTCCAATGTATGGGGATACATGTAGTTAAACGATTACAGACTAGTATAACCGCGCCACATTCTATATGTGTCTATCCTTAGTCAGGAGCCTGTAATGCAGTGGTTGTTGCGGGGTCGTTTCTGTCACAAATGTTTTATAATAAGTGTTAGTCATAGTCAGGCCATTGATTTTCTCTTTTCGATTGTTTCCTATTTTGTCATGTTGGGCCTTTTATAGGTTTAAACATGGTATGGTTTGACCATTTTTGAACGCCGTACGATGACCTATAATTGTATACATTCTCGTTCTTTGTTCCCTGGTAAGTAGTTTTCTCATTGGAAATTATACCACATCTCCTCATTTGTAAAACTATACATTAGAATATGCATCTTATTTTAAAACATTACCTTAATTTTGATAGAAGACTCTTTATCATATTCGTTTACGCCTTTAAACTTTTCGAAGGTAGGATCATTTACATATTCTATTGGAATCTGAACTGTCAATCCATCAAAATGAACAATTACTGTTTGATTAGTTTGATTCCCTAATTTTGGAGGTGTTTCACAAACAGCTGAAGTATCATCTGGTACTTCGCAAGGATTTTCCTGGAAAAACAATATCTAATGAATTTTACAAAAATTATAAATTTTATTTGAAATTCAGATCTTCAAAATACTCCTTAAAGCATACATATCATGATAACGCAACAAACTTTTTTAAGCATTGGCGTTTGCTTTTCTGTCATGAATTGCGTTTGCTTTTCTGGGTTAATAAAATATACAAAAAAAAGTTTGTAATCGTTATTGCGATATCAGATACAAAATTAAAACTAGAAAAATACCAAAGCAAGACTATGAGAAAAAATATACTAAAATTATATCGCCACAAGCTCGTTCGCTGTCATAATTGTTAATAGTTACGGCGTATCCGTAAATCTAATTATTTGCAACATTTTCAAGTTTGTCACATATTTTACTTTCCACTAGTCTGACAGTATTTCTTGTTTGTCATGTTACAGACTGTGATACTTACTACTTAATGTGACTATAGAATAGTAGGAGCAGATGTAGTTTACACAGTTTATATTTCTTGACGCAATCAGTCATTACATTATTTTAATAATAGTGTTTACAGTGAAATGGTTCGTCTGTTTTTAAACTGGACTTATGAAAATAAATGAAAATAGGTATACAACCTTCGTACCTCTATAAACATAAAAAAATGAAATAATAAGAAGGGGACACGCAATTTTAAAACATTTTTAAAGTTAATAAAACCCTGTTAAAATATTATTAGTCTATACATGGCTATAAAAAGTAAAATAACATAAATTCCCTTATGTAGAAAATGGTGGATTAAACCTTGTTTTATAGCTAGCTATATGCTTGTTTTTCATTTTAAATTCATTTTAGTGTTTTACTGTATAGGCATTCGACTAAAACAGAATATACCGATGTAAATAATGTTAAAAGACATATGATAATAAATATAGGTATAAACAGGCAATACTGAGAGTAATACGTCTTCCAATTCAAGTAAGTTACAAAAATATAAACAAAATATGTACTTAAAACAATTTAAATTTGTATATTAAATGAAATAACTGATTGAATTATTATATTACGGGACTGAACAGGCCCTTATCCCATATCGTCGTTTAACATGATATTGTATCTCAAAACAAAAAAGAGGACGATACTGTCAGCATTCTAATTTTGTACTTACCACTCTTTCAACAGTTACTTCTCCTACATTTTTGAATCCTTCACCTTGAATGGTAAATGTTGAACCTCCGCTGAGGAATAAAAATAAAGCTATAACATACAGATGTGTTCAGTTGTAAAAGAAGTATTAGAAATGCTTGTGATTTAAAACGCCAAATATTGCGTTTAGTGTATCTCTTATCTAAGCATAAAATAAGTTGTTCAATATATGCCAAAAGGAAAACATCTTACAACACAATCAAAGGAAATACAAACGGCTTCAATTATATTTTAACCATTAAATACTGACTTTTGTATTGAATTGATCATTCATGTAAATACTTATTCTTACTCATACCTGTTTTGAGCTGTTTGTGGTTCATTTGAAATATTGAATGTTGGATCTGGTAAATATCGAAACGTTCTGTTCAGTTTAAATGCTGTCAAGTCATCAATCACAACGTGTAGCAAGGTCATATTTCGAGGTACTTGTGATCGTCCAGTTTTGCATTTGATGTTTGTTGAACTGATAGTATTTTCTAAAACACTGTAATAAATTAAAAAAATAAAATGCGAGCAGATTTTATTGCACAGATTTCGCATCTTTCGAATAAGGTTGAAACGCACAATATGTGCAGAGCAAATATTTTTGTAAATTATTTAAGAACAAAATTGACTTAATGTGTAGACATTTACCAATGGAACCGTTGGGACCGTTCTCATGAACTAAGAATAAAAAAGATTTTTTTTTAGCTTTTGATACTCGTTTCAACTATAAACATATGTATGGTATTTCGTACAATTGGTTCCCTTCTCAAATTTATAAAGCGTTACTTTCATTTTCAACACTGTTGTCTTTTAGGGGGAAAGCTAATTAATCAAAGATAACAGGCATATAATTGTGTACACCAGACGGGGGTTTCATTTCAGTGGCAGATTTACCGTGGGGGCACAGGGGGCATGTGCCCCCTCCCAGTATAGGTCACCAAAAAATTTTCTAACATAATTTTATTGCTACTGAATCGTCTTATCACTATTTTTCAAGTTGCAAGCGTTGAATTATTTGACCGGTCAATAGTTTTCAACTATTTGCCCTCGATGAAACAGTTTGACCGCAAGTGTCATTATATTTCGCGGAATTTCAACTGCAGCTACGGGATAAGAGGATGTTGAGAATACCGCGTGAGTTACGACGTCGCGTTTTACCTATTGTGTCTAGGGTTGACGTCAGTGCTGGACGTAGCCTTAGATGAAGTTAGCGTTAAACAGTATGGTTGTGTTTCTGCTTTTTATATTACGATAGTTTATTTAGTCCCGACATTTATTGTCTGTTGTCTCTTTCGGTATAATAAAACACTTACTGACTGGATATTCGTGGAATAGTAAGTTTATTGTCCCCTCGGATACAACTATTGCCCTCGGCTATGCCTCAGGGCAATAGTTGCACCTCGAGGGACAATTAACTTACTATTCCACTCATACCCAGTCAATAAGTAAAAAAACGCGTCACTCTAAAATTGTTAACATCTGTTTCAGGTCGTCCCTCTTTGCATCTCGTCATGAATATGCATGACATATTTGCCCCTGGATGTTAAAGGAGCAGTCAATTAATCAACTTTATTTAGTGTTGTATAATCAATAGTCTTCAGTTGATAATTGTCTCAAACAGTTTTTCAATTTTTAGATATTTGATTTTATATTTGAATTGTTAATTGATGGTTTCATTAGACATGACATCTTTTAATTTTCATTTACATGGACAGGTTTAAATACGTCTATAATAGGGAATCCTATACATGAAAAATACGTTGAATATTTTTTGTAAATCGATTCGGTTTTATCTGAAATAGAAGGTTTATGGTGGTAACTAAACATTCAGCTGAATATTACATTCAACTCAATAAACGGTAACTTTAGTTCGGATTTTCAATTGCACCAATGCTAAAATACAATGAGATTGATTTAAAATTTGTGTTCAAAGATCAAGAAACATAATTGAATAATGTAATGACTTTTGATGTTTTATGATGTTTTATGATTTTATTTTAGATTGTTTTCACCAATAGCAAAAAGATCTGCAATAAACGTAAATTTTAGCATTTCTTTCCTCATTTGTCACTTTCCATTTGTTCTTTTTTATATATTAAATAACGTAGTCCACATCAGGGGTTACATTGTATCTTATCCAGACAAACTAGGGGGAAGGGAGGGGGAAGAGAACAAAATCTTCAAATATTCATTGAGTGGCAGTAACTCACATATTGAAACGAACAACGATGGCAGTCTTTTTTAGGTGACACAATTTGCTGCTTCAAGTTTATTTTTATCTGGTATAGTTGTCATAAAAGCAAAAAAGAATAATAAAAAAATGTTTTTAAGGGCAACAATTTTTCTAAGAGTTCAAATTATTTTCATATATTTGTAGATATTGTCTGATTGATCGTTTTTGTTTTTTTAAGTTTTTCTTCATCTACAATTGTCTTTGCAAAAGGCGCAAACAAATGTGTTAAAATCAGCCATGTGACTTATTGGAAGATTTAGCTGATCTTTGTTGCTGTATAAAGATTTCAACCATTTAACTTGTGTGTAGATCTTATTTCCCCTCAAAGAGCTATTCAAATTGTTCTTTAACGTATAGAAGGCGTGAAATTCTCACTACACGAGGCATCGGATATACGACATTTCCATTTTGACCGGACGTAGCTGCGTATTTATACATCCGCATTGCCAAACGGAGGCACCCCTTTAGCAAGGGTTTACAGATGATAAGGGTTTACGTTAATGCGACAGCAACCCAACGACACAGACAAATCGAAACATTAAAAGTAAACATACAGTCTTTTGTAATCGAAAGATGCTTATAAAGAATGATAAGCCCAAAACCGACCCATGATAAAAAAAAAGTATGGAGTTATTCTAATATTATTTACCGTCAAAGATATCCCAACAGGCACAAGAACATTTTGTGTAGTTGAAAAATATTACCTGCCCTTTTTTAATTTCGATTAGTGGAAACCAAAGAAGATGTAATATAAACCAGTAGAAGAAAAACACGTCACTATACAGTAACGATAAAATAAACGATGATAATGGATGGCTGGTTAACGACTACGAGGCGATCAGTCTTTGCTCTTACTCTTAAATGCCGCGTGTTTAGCGTTGAACCAAATACCAATTTTAACGTCTTTGTTTGACCCGATCGGGGTTCGAGCCAACGACCCCCCGCTCTCGAGGCGAATACGATCCCACGAGACCACCTAGGCGGTCTGTAGTATAGAATATCATACCAAAAAACTCGAAGTACAATAAACAATATAGTTTCATAGAATTCTCACATTTACTAAAGAGAGCTGAACGTATCTTGCCTAAATTAGATACGTTTAAATGATATTGGAAACTACACTTAAATATCGATGGCCGACTTCAGAGTAGATGTAATGCAGCAACGCTCTCACTATTACTTTAAGAGAGGATAAATTTAACATGTTTAAACGTGATATCTGCTGCCAAAACTTTTAGGGGACGAGAATGAGGATGCGATATGATATAAAATTCGAACAATTTATTGTATTATGTAAGTTTGTTTATTTTTGTCGTTTATGATGGTCTCATCATAAGTTTACATTTACCCAACATCATCGAGTCTTTTTATTCATACAACATACTTTTTTTCTCAACGCAAACGCATTATTGTGTAACATCTCCACTGGGTTAATCCAGTCCCAATTGCGAAGAGGAAGTCGGATTCAATATTTCGCCGTGATATAAACGCCAAGAGACTTTGTAATCAAATTTTAAAAAAAAACTAAGGATTTATGCACACAATCATGTAAATAATATTTGCAAATGTATATAAGCTGAAATTGCCACGGGACTATCAAGCACAATTATGTACACCATCAGTCCATTGGTGCATATCAACCTTCGATCGTTTAAAATATAAATGTTCTTTTTTCTCTGAAGTGCTTGGGTTGGGGTTGATCTTTTTTGTACGAGTAGACCTAATAATATGTGTTTGACTGATTATGTCGTACTACCTTTGTCTAAGCTTGCCGCACTAAACTACAGGTTCTTAAACACAAAGAATTGACTCGCAATCTCAAAAGACCAAATATTGTGATGGTGAATGGAATGGTCGTTTTTCAATATGAAATTGAATATGAATATGATCAAAAGGGAAGCTGAACTTAAACTGTTAGCTAAGCTGGAATAATACATCTGAATCCTTGATTGAGTACAATGTATAATAGTGACTGAAACACACATAATATATACACACTGGATATAATGAACAACTTTGAAGAAGTGTGAAGACATGGTCGGAGCTGGCCGTGGCCAATAATTTAAATGGGCATTACACTGAAACAAATCAATGGACTTGAATATCCTACTAACCACATGCACATATTCATATTAGGATTAAACAATGTACAGACTTTTATACATATATGATAGAATATAGGAGGTAAATATATAAAGGAGGTGTTGCGATGACGTGGTCGGTTTTGAAAAAGTTCGAAATGTCTAAGTTTAAAGGAATATAATTCTTGATTAATTATATGAGATTCAGAAAAATGAAGCATTACACAAATGATTTGAATGATTAATCATTAGAAGAGGGAATACATGGGTGTTTGCTTCCACACTATCAAAAAAGAAATTGAAAACTTGTCTCCTGTTCAAGACTTATGACTACATGTAACTTTTGCATGTACGAATGCACATACGCAAATTTTTCTATGTGTGTAATTGTAAACATTCATTGTGCTCATTGGTTGTTTATTTCAAGATTGTATTCGCGTAAAATACATATGGTGATAAATACAATTAATATATTTTTGAGACCAAGCTTTATAGTCGAGTTATATGATCTATGATATTACAAATGTTCAATAACAAACGAAGGAGGTTAAGACGCTAACAGCTATCAATTCTATAACAGTAGGCAAATGCATGAATTTATTTTGCAGAACAAAAATAATGGACGAAGTACTGTTCTTCAAACTGACCGGGTAGGATAGGGCTGGCATACACATACTACATAAAAGATTTACAATACTTTTGATATTTTTATATTATGTGTTTGAATATTATGAGGCTTTCAAACTCGAGACAGCAATCTCTGAAGGCGACAGCGTTTGAAAAGAGACCACATCAAGAACCTTTGCATTTTGCATTCATGATTCTTTTCCTGGAAGGGGCTTACTACGCCCTTATCATTTGACCCTTGTGATCGTTCAACTTGAGCCTTCCCTTTTAGCTAATGTCGTAAAATGTCGTTCAATCTGCCAAATAAAACAGGGATATTCCAGTATTTATTAATGACCATATATTTAAATTTGGTTCCATTTCCCATGTGAGGCTCTATCGAGTGAGAATCAAGAATTTAGATTTCAGCACTTGTTTCAGTTTATTTTTAGTCACTTTGACTTAATGATCATATGCGTAGTAACCTCAAATTTAAAAGGGACCCTGCTCTCATTTAGAATAACGATTAAATCCATATGAGGTTGATATTAAGTTGTTTATATATCATGTTAAGATGACTTGTGGGTTGACATACGGTCCGCGGGTAAAAAACTATAAATGTACTTCAGAACTTTCTAGTCTGGGTTATAAAACGCAGAATGTAATTTTTCTATATTTTGCGGCCATACGCATATGCACACAGTGGAGATTACGATATTTGCATTTACCCTTTTACATCAAGGAGTATATGGTCATGAACATTTACACACATTAATAATTTGAATACATTTTCTGTGCGTTCGCTTGCACGTCTTACGCCAATAAATATTTCTAATCAAATATGTATTAAGCATATCCCGCAACGGTGGTAGGTCGTGCACTTAAGGCCATTTTTTATTTTATTTTTCTGTAGACTTTGTTTTGTTTTTTTATTACTGTGTATTGTCAAGCTAGGTTACTCATAATTGTTTCTCAGTCACTGAATGTACGATGTTGTTCTATACTGGAGCAGCTGACCCGGTTTGTTTACATTCAAATTCTAATGGCTTCAAAACCACGTGACACATTGAATAGTTCTATCCAATCAAATTACTCTACTGTCAATTAGGTGATTTTTTTAGTACAAGGCAATTATATTATTTGTTTGTATGATATTGCTTTGAAATAGTTTGCAATGAATTGGGGATTTATTCAATAGGAAACCTCATTATTTGCCATGAAATTTGACATCAATGGAATTTTATATGAATATTTACTTATGGTCAGAATATCGATCTCTTTATATTGAACCAAATTTTTTTTTTATGAAAAATATATGTATATTGTTTTTTATTAACCTACTCTATATTCCTGAACAAAAATATGGCATGATTATCGTTTGTTTCCAAAGTTTTTCTTTCAATTTGGATGGGTTTTTTTCGCGGGAAAATCGCGTAAGACGTAAGGTGTTTGCCATTTTGAAATTCTTAAAAATACGATTTGCTGGGCCTGTTTGGTCTGCCATTAAGATTGATGACGCTCAATGGAATGTAAACAAAGCAATGGAGGCCGGAAGAGGGGTTTTCTTAAGTTCTGAAATGTTTTTAGGCATTCGGAAGTCAGGTTTGAAATGGCCATTAGAAAATCTGCATTTTTGTACAATACTTAAGGATAATAATGAAAACATATCTTAAGAAATATCATTTTATTTAGAAGTGTAGAAAAAATGTATACTGCACTAATTTTGTACGCTGGTATTAGCGTAGTGACGTCAATGCGGAGTTTTTCCGTATGATAAGTACAGTTACAAAATCCGAACGAACCAACGTTATGACCGATTATAGACTACGGTAGGATACATATGCAAATATGTGCATATCAACGAGCCTTGGACCAAACATTCATAAACCGTAATGGACAGTCGATCGTATGTGTATTTTTTTTTTATATTTTTGTTAGATTTATAAAGATAACAAATTTAGGAAGTGTGTCTTTCAAATATGTCTCAGTGGCAATGTCAACTTATTGATAAAGGTTATACATAAACTGTTGGGGAAAATCTCATCGTATATAATTTCTTTAAAACAATATTAATTCGCTACTTTGGAGCTTAATGCAATACTAAATCTATCTTCATCAGGAACACTCAAACCTTAAACATGTTAAAATGGTAAAAACATGTATATATAAACACTTGAATACTCGAGGAGCTATATCATTAAAATGAATCGTAAAGATATTAAAAACCATTTAAGGTCAAAGAAAATTATAACTTCACCGAAAACACTCAAACTCACTAAATTGAAGTCATAGAAGTTTAAGTACCTGAACACGTGAGAAGCAAAATGACCAAAAAGGAGAAGGAAATATCAAAGATGACTGATTATTTCTAAGTTTATCATGCCCTCTTCCTATTACTATTAGATAACTTGAACCATTGTTTGCCCTAACAATTGAAAATACGACGAACGTCATATACCAATCATTTTGTTATATTGTTTACATCATGCTTTGTCGCTTTCGATTTCAAACAATCGCTTATTAACAATAACAACTTTTACTCTTAAACTGTTACAACAGATTAAGGAGGAGGAACGAAAATCTACACTACATAAGTTTTGCAGGCACCACCAGGAAGTGGTAGACCTATACAAAATGATGTGTCTCAACCCACTAGCAAAATGGCAAAGCCGTCTTAAGTTATAAGAATATATTCAAATCTGTAATTGTATTGATTGATTCCTATTTTCGACTGTGACATTTTGACAGAAAAAGTAAAATAACAAACATACCGAACTCAAAGGAAAATTCCAAACGAAAGTCCTTTATCAAATGGCAAAATCAAAAGCTCAAACACATGAGTGTGAATTCGCTTTGCGGATGAGGCATGCATAGCAGGAGACCCTTACACTGTCGACGCATACGATGCTGCTCCTTTTAGAGTTCATGCAATGCCCTCAGTTTTTATTTGTTATTCTAATCAATTAATGAAATTTGAACAGCGTTAATGTTAATGTCGTATTTTATTCGCCTGATGATTTGAAATTTTACTTCCCGTAACTGGTAATTAGTTTTGGTTGTATCTTAACTCTGGTTTCTGTTAATTAAGTTTTGACTAGATCTTTGTTAAGTTAATTTCCCTCAAGCTATGCTTGAACAATTTGAACTTTTTTTTTCATTACCAGTGCTTTAAACTGTCATAACAAATATGAGTGTAAATGACTGTAATTTAATTTAACAGTTATAACTGAAAATCATCTAGCCTTTACACTTATTTCCTGTCATGTGATACCAATTTCCTACATATTTCTTCCAATTATGCGATTGTTATTTGAGCTGACTAGTAATAAAAGCATTTAGGCATGTGGACTAGTCAACATAAACACAAACAAAGTAACTGACACACAATAAAATTGAGAATGGAAATGGGGAATACGTCAAAGAGACAACAACCCGACCAAAAAGGCCACCAATGGGTCTTCAACACAGCGAGAAAATCCCGCACCCGGAGGCGGGCTTCAGCTGTCCCCTTAACAAAAATGTGTACTAGTTCAGTGAAAATGGACGTCACACTAAACTCCGAAACATATAATAGAACTAAAATTGAAAAAACATACAAGACTAACAAAGGCCAGAGGCTCTTGACTTGGGACAGGCGCAAAAATGCGGTGGGGTTAAACATGTTTTGTGAGATCTCAACCCTCCCCCTATACCTCTACCCAATGTAGAATAAATAAACACACAGCAATACGCTATAAATAAATATCACTATACCTGCATTCAATACAAATATCATTTTCACAAAACGATATATTGTATCGATCTTGTCCTTTGAAATCAATGTGTTCACCTTTAATCGTCACAGTTGTACCACCAGAAACGATTCCCTTCAATGGTGAGACATTTAAGATCATAGGTTTCTGAAATAGTGTTCACAAAACAATCTATTTTCAATAAATAAACGTAAATACAAGAATAGCTTCTCATGTTATCAAACATATTGATAATGCATTTTCATATGATTTCAACAAAATTTATGTAAACTTTCATAAAAGATAAAACATGTCTGACGTAAAATATATTGATAATATTGTCAGTGTAGACCTCTGAGAATCGGCTTATATATGTAACCATCTTAACGGGAAAATATAAAAAAAAACAAACAAAAAAACTCTTAAATGAATATTACGCCATAAGTGTTTTGGTCAACCCCATTGAAAAGGCTGCAGTGGAACGGTAATGGCATGATTAATATCAAAACGTTCTTAAATTCTCCGCTAATAAACTTATGAATTATTAGGCAACTAAGACTCCAACACCTCCAGGTACAGTAAATTTTATACCAATTATTATACTCGTATCGATACTCACGTACACGTGTATTTATACATTATTAGATTTTATATTTTGGTTTTAGCGTTACTGATGACGTCAATCCGGAAAAGTACGTAAGACGCACCAAATGATATAGTGGTTTTTTCATTTTGGAGGTGTTAACCAATAGCTAACCATTCATCCCGCATTCTTTGTCAAATTAAGGAATCAAAAAATGTATTTATTGTGAAATAATGAATAAAAACAAATGTGTTAATGTTAGTATAATAAAATAATTATCATGTTAAACATTGGTGCAAGTGAAGGAGCCTTTTACTTAGAGTAAACATATTGCCCATACATTCTTTGAAATACCTTAAAACTGAAGTATTTATAAGTTTGGTTGCTGTAATAAGTTGCATTTACTGAAACAAATATTCCCATTGTCTGATTGGTGTTGCCTTTTCCAATAACACAAGTCATCCTGTAAGAACAGATAAAATACAAAAACATGGCAGAAGAAAACACGAAATTGGAACTAAGTATAATTGGCGTGATTTACTGTTATATATGAATCTCTTTTTTTATCAGCTCTTCAATATCTAAATAAGTTTCGGATTTTCAAATGTGTTGGCCTCGAGCATCACTGAAAAGACATTTGCTGTCGAAATGCGCATCTAGTGCAGTAAAATTGGTACTGTTTATGTATTATTAACAAATTTGGTTTTGATTTGTGGTTATAATGAACTATTGATTAACCTTATTGAAAACCAAAAGATTACCCAACCCCATTCCCTATCATAAGATATTCACCACTGGTGTTGTTACGAGTACCAATGATCTTTCAAATTAATTGAATTGTAATATTAGTTTTTGATAGCTTTCGAACCATGTTTTTCAGAGGAACTACTTTTGTTAAAAGATGTAAACAATTTTTGCAGTATAAACATACTTTTCAATGACTATTTGATTCTGATTCCCAAATAATTTTGAAAATCAATCTCAAATATCGTCGGGTTTGTTATATTATTCCTAGGCAATAATCTTGTATTTAATTGTGTGTGTCTGTATCTTTATTGTTTTATGAAAGTTTTTACGACTCATTTTGCGTTCTTTTGTTTTATCTCCTTAATTTTGTTTGTCTCCCTTTGTATTGTATTTTAAAGTATTGTTCATATACGGTATATATTAATCTTTACTCAGTTTTGGGTATTGTAACTGTAACGTCGTGACATATTACTCCATTAATATCAACAGAAATATTATCATTAGCATTTCCAAGATAATTCCCTGTTATTGTCACCAATGTACCACCATTAACTGGTCCACTTGATGGATACACCTGTTTAAACACAATGCAAGAATCAGATTGACAAACTAAGACATATGCACTAAATGAAATTCTAAAACAACGTGATAATTGGACAAATATTTTATTGATAAGAAACATCCTCGGCTTTCAAATATTCGGCTTTGAGCATTCCTGATGAAGGTAAAAGCGCTTTGGTTGCATGAAATTTATAACGTGTTGTTTTCAGTGTTTTCATCATTTTTTAAGATAGCATTCTCATCAACATACCCTTAACATTGATATTGTTTACAAAAATGAAAGACGACTTCGTCCCTGCTCTGTTTGTTACATATTGTAGAATTTCTCAATTAACTTAACCTATTGTATATTGTTTCGAAAAAAGGGATAATTGTTAATTTATTTGAGCTACTTAATTCATGTGTCATATTTCAGTTAAATCAACAAGACTATATGCTACAGCTGATAAAAACATTTGTTCAACATAAATTAAAAAGTATAGCCGTATTTTACATTAAATACATTGAAAATTGCATAAATGTGTGGTGTACACGTAATATTAGATGCTTTTGTATAAACATTTTAATATATGGTCGATTAAAAAACACCAATTCACAACCTAATAATATTTCAGTGAGTTTTATTACACTTCAAGTTAAAATGACAGATTTTGATTGGTAAATACGAGAAATACATTTTACGCTTTCTCATACCTCAGCGGGAGGCAATGTTATAAAGAAACTAAGGTTTCAACTCCCTCAGGCAAAGTTGACCTTAGATGGATTTGGCTATTTGTTTTAGGTATTTTTGTCATATAGCTCTTCATCTGTTTCGGTACTTATACATCCCTCGGATTTCAAATGTTTGGCTTTGAGCGTTCCTGATGAACAAAATGATGAAGGTAAATCCAGAAAAGCGCTTCGGACGCATGAAATTATTTAACGTGTTGTTTTCAATTTCAAAATCGATAATTTTAGATAGAGTGAATTGAATTTACAAGACAATGCTCATGTTTTTCGTTTCGGACTCATGACTCTTTCATAGTTAGTCAACATAAAAAAATGCATCTTGCCTCCTTTTTTTTTTACTTTTCTAATTAATGTAACGTTGTTGTGTATACGTGAAGTCATAGTTTATAACTTTGAAGTAAAATTTAAATGGCCATAACGACAAAACATTCAGTAATCATAAATGAAATAACATATAGCTTAGAGGGTGAAAAAGCAGATTGTTGCCCATAAAAAAAACTGGGTAACAATTTTCCCTGTCACCCTCTTGGCTATGTTCTATCAATTTAAAATCTCATCATATTTTACCAGTAATTCAATGATAGAACATTTAAACTTACTAGTATTTTCGGTAAAATGGTATCATTTCTCTTGCGTGTTTAAAAAATGCATGAACACCAATGACATTTTGTACAATTATCAAATGTTATAAATAATTGATTTTTTGTTCATCTAACACATCTAACAAATTATTTGCACACATTTGTACCACTTTTTTTTTCAATTTCAAAAAAATAAGCCATCTTGAGCCCGAAACAACTGATAGCGGACTTTTAATTCATTGATTGTATTGTTTACAAATAAAGAAGACGACTATAGGCATGTCATTTAGCTTCAATTCATATATAAACTACATCAACTGTGAGCGTTTTAACATGTATGAAATATATATTTGATGTTATTTGATGAAAGGAGCCATAAATACGTTTGATGAAGTTTTCAGTATGCCAGTGTTTTCATGTTTCGTATATCAGTATGTTATCCTTATGTATCTGCTACTTATCATCGTTATGCTGCGAGACCTTCTAAATGTTTAATCATTGGTCGATAAACGCACTTCATGAAGACTATAGCTTTCATAGAAAAACGTTCAGTTTATGACGTTTGATTTAACCTAGAAAATAATATGATGATGTTTGAAAGTAGAAAATTTAAGCTGCAAAATATATAAGAAGATTCATTTTAATCGGTTTCTCTCATTAACACAAGTTTCAGTTTTTCCAGTCTTTAAAATGTTCAGCCTTTTTGTTTTAATGGGAGAACAGGATGAAATTTGGGAAAACTTACTATACACAATTTTTCCTTTTTTATCGTCTTAGTTTAAAGCGATAAGGCCTCAATATCAAATCTGCATCTAGACCATTCTAACATATAACTAAGTGCTCATTACTTAAATTGAAAAAGAAATACATGTCTCAAAGAGCTTTGACTTTTGCGCATGATATGTACGACAACTATTTGTTAACGTTAACATTCATTGCAAATGGCATATATCTTGATAGCCTTCAACACCTGATCATTTGTTTGTGACAAAGATTAATGAAGATAAAAAAAAATAAAATAAAATAGCATATCTTACCTTTAAATGAGATGTTGATCTTTCAGGGAGAAATTTGTACTAAAAATGATGAAATTCCCACCAATATCAGATTATCTAACATTGATACCCTGTTTTGTGAGGTCAATGAACATTCTACAAAACCCTTTTGAAATCAAAATAATATTTGACTAATCATGTAATAAAGTATTACCTTATCAATCATCGGAACACACGTTACGACTGAAGTATTTGAGTTGATCATACAGTGAGCATCTGAAAAACAAATACCTCATGTCATATGTTGCGTTATGTATTGTTACTCTTCAATAATTTTCTTTTTCGAGAATAGATGTAGGAATACATAGCACTAAAAAATGGAAAGAAAAATCGAAACTGAATTCTCCTAAACATGTTCTCTTTAAATAAAGGCAACAGTAGTATACCGCTGTTCGAAACTCATAAATCGATAGAGATAAAAAAACAAATCCGGGTTACAAACTAAAACTGAGGGAAACGCATCAAATATAAGAGGAGAACAACGACACAACAAAAACACAACACTAAAATGTAACACACACAGAAACGAACTATAATATAACAATGGCCATTTTCCTGACTTGGTACTGCACATTTTAAGAAAAAAATGGTGGGTTGAACCTGGTTTTGTGGCATGTCAAACCTCCCGCTTTTATGGCAACGTCAAACACAACACCAAAACGACAACATCACATGACAGGACCACACTACAAATAAATGGGAGAACATATAGGACAAAGAAAAACACGAATAATAGCTTACAAAAGATACTAGGCTTAACATTCAATACGCCAGACGTGCGTCTCGTCCACACAAGACCAACCAGTGACGCTCAGATGAAAAAAGTTTGAAAGCCAAAACAAGTACAAAGCTGAAGAGCACCGAGGACCAAAACTTCCAAAAAGTTTCGCCTAACACGGCCAGGGTTTTCTGCCTGGGACAAGAACATCCTTATTATTTAGAATAATTTATAATTTTGCAAACAGTAAATTTTATAAAATAACTATATAATAGATATACTTGATAAAACCGAAGTGGGGACTAACTACAGAATAAAAACGGATACATTACATAAATTAACTTAATCCAACACATAAAAATACACAGCCGAGTTAGCCAAAGCCTCAACGCACAAAGTGACGTCACATTTGAAATTCTAAAAAAACACACAAAGTGACGTCACATTTGAATTTGTAAAAATATTTCCCAAAAATAAGATAGGATTAGGATTGATTCAAGATTAGATTTGTAAGACTGACATTACATTTATTAATAACAATAAAAATTACAATACTTATTAATATCAAATTGTGGTAGTATTTAGATAATTAATTGTATTATCTAGCTATGTCGGTGTTTCTTCTGAATCAAACTGTAAACCAAATATATCGTATAAATTTCGTTGAACCAAACTAAAATCTAATAAATGAAGGGAGTGATTAATTATCTTTACCATAACTTACGAATATAACAGAAAAGACGTTAAGACATTTGACAAAATCCGACGAGAATAGCAAATATAACATCAAAATTAAATACATGAATTTGGGATAGAAAAGTACCGTGACACGTCTTATAGCAATGCGGTTTCACACTCAGCAAAACAGTCACAATCGGGAATAAGTCACGTTCGGTAATTAAAAGATCAGACGACGTAATGACAAACCACAATCTAACACGTGGTAAAAATGTCCTTAGTTAGTTTGGACAAAGACACATCGTATGGATCAACCAATTCGTGATGGTGTCCGTAAAATTTACGGAGTTTCAAAACGCAGATGTTAAATCTTCTGAAGTTTCAACATAATTACAACCTTTTAACTGTTAAGATACATCCTATTTCAGTATGAAGCATGGATAGTGTTCATCAATTGCATTTCCAAACACTTCCAATACTGTGTTAATTGCATTCGTTTATGTTGTTAAAAGTATTAACAAACGGAAAAAATGAATGATATAAAATATTTCAGAATAAGACAGCAAGACGTACAAAAAAGGTTGAAAATACAAAGATTTTTACAATTTTCTAATTCAAGATCACCGATAACGAAAGAATTAAAAGAAAAAGTAAAAGTTTATTTTCAGGTGTATTTTGACGTGATCAATAATTTCACACAAAATATAGGTTTCGTTATTAAGAATGATCATTTTGAATAAAAATACCCCTGGTCGCTTTCTATATTGCAAGCTTTTACCGTAAAATGAACGGCTTTACACTTGAATTCAACTGTTACATGTGTGAATAATAATGCATATTCAGAGCAAAACTTTTAAACTTTGGTGTAAAATATTTTTGTTATAGTAGGATGCATAATATCCGCGTATGTATTGTATCCAGAAAATTCCGACGGACATGCATTGTATCTGTTGATAAATTTATTGTTTTCACCATCGATCAGTCAATCGGTACAAATCAATTTTGACTTTGATTCGATGATATAAAGTAATGTGCTTTTCTAAACTGCCATCAGAGGAACTCAATTCAAAACAATTTGCAGGCGAAATACGAAGTTGAAGAGCAATGCAAATCAAAAATTGCAAAATTTCTTTGAAATACGTCTAAGGCAATGTATGCCTGGAGTAGAAAAAAAGTAAAATAACAAAAATACCAATCTCCAAAGAAAATTCAAAACGGAAAGTACTTTAACAAACAGAAAAATAAAAAGCTCAAACACATCAAACGAATGGAAAACAGCTGTCATATTCCTCATGTAGAAAGTGCTGGATTAAACCTGGTTTTATAGCTAGCATAAGCTCTCGCTTGTAAGACAGAGCAAAACCAACAGACATAATAGGTAAAAATGTCAAAACCTAAGTGTTTCGAATAATTTAACATTTCATAAACAGTACATTTACAGAAAATAAACATTCCAATGGTACTACTTGTCAACACAAGGTGCTGGCAAATATGTTGGTGATTCACTCGGGGAAGAAACCTCGACCAGCAAGTGGTTGTAAAAACTCATCAAAGACATCAGTCTAACACTTTGGTGCGACAAAAACGCGATTCTTTTACATAATACTAATCAGGACCGATCAGTATATACAACGCAAACTACTGACAGAATTACCACTTGCGTGTACAAGGAAAGAAAAGATGATAATAGTTTAGAAAGCAGGTCAAAATGTGCTCGCTACTACAATATAGCCTGTTAATTTATATGTTCAGGTTAAATTGAAAAGGATGAATATATATAAAAAAAGTTTTAATTCCATCAATTAGTAACGTACTTGTTCTAAATCAGGAACCTCATTGTTGTTGCAGTTTTTAAAACATGGATTCATATTTTGCCAGTTTTGGAATAAGTTAATGACGGCAGGTCTCTGATGGAGTACATAAATTATGTATATAAATTAATTCACTCTATTTTTGCACTCGATTTAGAAATTCATGAAAATAAGCACCAATAAAGTTATTAAACGCGTTAGGAAAGGGAGTTAGATACTGCGGTGATGTTAAATAACAATACCGATACAAATGTTTAATATGGACTTTCTCAAAATACAATTGCATTAAAAGGTACCCATGTGTGGCAACAAATGAAAATGCATATTCCGTTTTTAAAAAATCCTCCTGACCGAAAGATAATAAAATAAACTTCTACTTATGAATGATTAACGCTATTTTCAACAATATTTCAGTTATATCGTGGTGTTCAATTTTCCTTGATGGAGGAAAAGTGGTTCCAAGAAATAAAACCAATGACCCCTCACCGAAACGTAAATTTAACACTTCTTGAATACTGCCCGAATGTAGAAATCTTTTACAACTTAATTCGATAACCTCTTTTGTCCGAAGAACTAACTGACGAAAGTCGAAAGAAAGATAATGTCAGAGAAAATGTGAAATTGAAATAAGTCATTCACACATTTTAACGTTCTTTTGCAGGTTATGTCTCTTTTCATAATTACATTAAATTGCCAGAGTGACATTTCTGGATAAAATAAAAATAGGGATGAATGAATTGAACAGTAGGAAACGATATGCCTCCACTCTAATGTGACAATATCTAACAATTCGGATACGGAAACCAAATTTTGCAGAAATGGTTTTTCTATTATTCCTCTTTCAGAAATTTTTACACGCCTCCACAGACAACCCGAAATGTCTGATGGTGAAATTTCTTAAATGAGAGCATACAAAATTAAAAACCAATTGTTCAAAGAACAATTGAAGGTCTTTCCACATCAATTTTCTAAATAATTGATAAGAAGCTACTTCTTGTTTACTCAAAGCGACTATTGGCGTCCAATCATAGGTTTCTTCATACTGATTCAATAAACATATGGTTTCTACAGACTTTTGCCTGAAATAAAGGAGATAATTGCCAACTTTGGTTTAGAAAATGTCACTTCTGGTCTCATATGATAGCTTTATTTACACTGATTCCGAAAATATATGGTTTATATATACTTTTCCCTGTAGAAAGGGATATAATTGGCTACTTCCGGTTAAGAAAAGGACACTTCCGGTCTCATATGATAGCTTTATTCACACTGATTCCAAAAATATATAGTTTGCATATACCTCTGCCTGTAATAAGGGAGATAATATGCTACTTCCGGTTTATAAAATGTCACTTCCGGTCTCAAATGATAGGTTAATGTATGACTATTCAAAAAATATATGGTTTCTATGTACTTTTACATGAAATAAGTGCAAAATATACTACTTTCGGTTCACTCAAGGTCACTTCCGGTTGACATTTTTCAAGGACATATGTCACCCTACATTTTGCAAAAGATCTTATGGCTTTATTATGACTCAACCTGAAGAAACAATCAATTTACCTTAAAATAAAACATTTCAGGAGCAATAACTCCTATAAGATGTCACTGGATTAATTCAGACCAAATGTATCATATCTTCATCACAATTTAACAACATTTTGGACTGAACAAGGTATTAAATAAAACTGGAAATCAACATCAAGTTTAGAAAACCTCCATTACTTCTTACCGCTTAATTTCATGATGTTAGTTAGATTATTTTTTTAATTTGATGTTACTTTCCTTTTTTTTTCCATACTTGCATGGACTAAGTCTGCTTGAATAATTGAATAATTTCAAATTTCTATACAAAGTTAGTTTAGCTCATTCATGCATGGACTAAGTCTATTGTGTTAGTCCATGCATGCATGGACTACGTTAACGTTAGTTGCCTTCGTCCATGCATACATGGAATGAGTCAATTGTTAGTCCATGCATGCATGGACTACGTTAACGTTAGTTG